TGGTGCAAATTACTGACCTCTGTCATCATTTTAAGTGGGGGAACTTGCACAATCGGTGGCTGACTAAATACTTTTTTGCCCCACTGTATATATATATATATCATATCATATCATATATATATATCATAGCAGTATGAGTAAATTAATCATAATAAGCTCCAGCAGCTCCAGCAGATTTCTTTGTGTACATGTTGTGATCAGCTGACCTGTGCTGTGGCTGTTCTGAGGTTTACTGCTCTTTGTGGATTTGCACAACTCCATTCATCAAGATGTAACCCATGCATATAGACCAATATATACTGCATAAACTATGTTTCTCTTTATTTGTTTCTTTATTTTTTGCTTCTCTCAACTCTTCTTCTTTGAAGCGTACATCAATAGGATTGCCTTATGCAATTTGTTATTGCTCCATCCATTTCGGCTGAAATCGGTTTGGTGCATAGATGGAAATAATAACTCCCCTCAAATGTCTTTATCGTAAACTAATGCACCTGTTTTAAGAATTAAAGTATTTATAATTTATTCACAGTAAAACAAAGGGTCTGTCTGCTCGACAGCCCCAATGTGATGTTCGCCTGACAGAGCTTCACATTAAAAATTCCTTTTCATTAGAGTTTTACATTAAATAATCTCTGTTGAAATCCAGTTTGTTATTTCAGAACAAACCTGGAGTTTTCCGATGTCCCTGGCGCAGCCCACCACTTTCATGCCGAGCCGGACCAGCTCTACGGCTATAGCCGCCCCAATCCCGACCGAGGCTCCGGTCACCAGAGCTACTCTGCCCCGCCAGCGCTCCATCACACACACCGGTAACCTGCTACACACACAAAAGCACCAAAAGTATGAAGTGATGAGGAGTCTTAGTGACTGTGAGCGCTAACTGTCTTGTGCCCGTTAACCATCCATCTATAGATATATATATATTGGAACGTCTTAAGTCTCGGTGCAGACTTCACGAGACGCCAACGAATGGAACGCATTGACTGATTAACCACTTCATTTCAGCTGAATCACTGGCTACAAAGCAAATTCTTTATCAAACATTATCTCAAACTAACATACCATAGTTGTGCCAGCACGCTCTCCTTCTATGCACCATACACTCAGTAGCGGTTTTAGATACGGGTGACACGGGCGGTTGCCCGGGGCAGACATCGGCAAAAA